AAAAAAAAAAACTTACCTCCAACTGTGGCTCCAATTAGAGCAACTAAGAGCAACAATGGCATGTTCATATTCAAGATTGAATTGTCAGCTTCGCATGTTTCGGCAAGTACTTGCAGAGGTTTATCGAACATTATTGCATGGGCAGCTAAGAGCGCTAATGGGAGTCTTGACATCATTCTCTCCTGCCAGAGTAAGCGAAAAAAATAAAAATAAAAAAGAAATAATAGTTCAGCAATGAGCAGTAAATAGAAAGCTCAGTAAATGACCAATTTTCGGGAAAATGATGAAATGAAGGTTAACTACAAAAGGTGCCCGTGAGGTTCGATACTAATATACAAAGCCGCACTGCTACTTATTGAAAAATTACAAGAAGAGCCCAATTATATTAGTTTCGAAATCACATCTCAAGTGAAACTTATTTGTTGAGTAAATATAAGTCACAGACGGCGTTTTTACTAACATAATTTTTTACGACAATAGCGTGACATGCTACTAATTTTGGTGTTCGCAATTGGAGCTATCTAAATTGTAATATACATCCAATTGACTAAAAGCAAATGTAGAACTTAATGTGGTTTTACATTGAGCTCATTTACATGTTTATTTCTTGATCTTTTGTGGTAGCAAAAAATGCCATCCTCAACAAAAATAAACTCAACAACTTAGACTACAACAAAAAAGGTTTTACAACTGCAGTTTGCAAAGAGAAAGTGAATAGCTTCCCCCCAAAAGCTAAAAAAAGCTCAACTCAAAGCCACAAAACTCAACATATTTCTCCACAACAGCTAACTAAAACCCAAGAACATAAATGTTAACAACATGAATTTTAGATGCCCAACTAGCCAACACAAGCAAACCTAACAAAATAAACAAAACAAAACAAGAAATTAAAACTTAATCATATCAACTCGCCAAAAGATTCGATTTTGGAACACACTCGTGTACAAATATGAAAACTGGAACCTTATCCAACGTTTAAAAAATTCACCTTGAAGCTAAAAATGTACAGTGAACTTTGCTGCGATTCTCCATTTTCGTTGTCTTTTCTTGCAGCACTGATGATATTGCTGGCATTTTGGCTTGTGCCCTTGAGCCCAGCAAAAATTGCGAAGAAAGGTGAAGTGGGTTTGAGAAATTTTTGTGTTTTAAGAGATGAAATGGGAGAATTTGAGAGAAAATTAGGATCAGGGGAGCTCCATGTTCGAAAACCCTGCTTCACCACCATCGTCATCTTCTTCAATTCTTATCTTTTTTTTTTTCTCAAAATGGAGATTTTTTGCTTGGTTTCCTTCTTGTGTTTGGCCGTTTATGTTCTTGTGGGTTTTGGATAAAAAGTTAAAATCAAGTGAGGAATAACAAAAATGAAATCTATATATATATAAAAGCCAAGCAGCTCAAGTTTTCCCTCCTAAACTATTGTAAATACATATCATTAATATTTTGATCAATTTGATATAGTTTGTCTCAAAGTTGTAATGATATGATTTTCATTAAGTATGAGAGCTAAAATACTACTAATATTTATTAGTATATATGAAACCAAGGAAAACATAATTACACTCATTTTCCCATGTACATCTAATACATACTTCAAGTAAATTAATTATACATTTTAAGAAACTTAGAGGAAAAAAAATTACAATAAAATTTAAAAATAACAGGTAAAATACAGTCTTACGCGAAAAATACTTCCAATACACACACACATACAAGCACACACACACACACACACACACACACACACATATATATATATATATCTATATATATATTAAAGCGGAGCAGCTGCCAAATTCCCGCTCAAAATCTACATTAAATGTTTGCACATTATTTGATAACTAATTTCTTCTTAAATTTTGGATTAAATTTCCACTTAGTACTACATTAAATTTGAGAATAACGAATACATTTGTTTCATGTATGTTAGGAAACCGTGCATAGCTCCTAATTTTTGTCTATCATGTTTAATGTACACTTAGTCAAGTAGCTTGAGAAAAAAAATCCTCCAAAACTACATTTATCATTTAGATATAAATTTTGACAATTTCTAAGTATGATATATCATTACAAAAATAGT